TAAACGAGGTAGTGGAAGATCCAAAAATGCTTCAATAGAAGCTGATGTTTGCACATACACAACACCAAGGAAACTCATGATAAAGATTAAAGCTTTGAAACGACAACATGAGTACTGCGAGCATCTCATTTCTCCAATAATAACTAGGAATCCTAGGACCAAGGGTACAAGAATCTTGAATCTTAAACAATCTTCTTGGGGACAACGTTCTCTTCTTGATCATAATCCAAAGCCAAAGCCAAAGCCAATATCACATAAAGAAGTTGAAGGAGTGTCGTTTCATGATCTTGATCCGGATCGAGTTAATACCAGATCATCATTGTTATATAGTTGTGTTGATAAATCGAAACCAATTTCATCAGAAAATGAAGTTGAAGGAGTAGTCATTGGTTTTTCTTCTCCAAGGTTGAAGACTAGTTTGTCTACGCCACTGTCGGAGTACACCATCCCAGGACCTATTCCGAACAATTTTAATGAGTTGACATGAGATGAAGATATGAACCTTCATTTTTGGAAAGACATCCTAGATTTTGAAGAATAAATTTATCTCATCTCTTAATTAATATAATGCATCTAGTTATTTACAAATTATTGTTGGTAAAGTGTGTATTTACATTTCATATGTCATGAGTCCGTGCACTTGATGTAACAATGTCAACATAAAAAATGTATGCAAGCAGTAATATTAAGAATTTTATTTTATTTTTCTTTTAAAAAGAAAATCTATGATTTTAGTAAAAGATTTAATTTGTGTGTATCTATTAAAAATTTATTATATTGTTTCTTAATATATAAATATAATTTTTTTCCAATTTTCCTTGTCAACCATAAATGTATAATTTTTTTTTTCAAAAAAAAAAAATGAAAATTGAACAAAAGTCTGCAATTGGAGTTTGTCCCTTTTACAATTACAATGCATCCAAGGTGAAGGAATTGAAGGAAGCGCTGAATGGGGACATACAAGGCGATTTCGTAAGAGCGGTGTTGCGGTACGGTAATGCCGACTGCGGCTTAATACACTATATATACAATTTTTTTTTTTTAAATAATGGGGCCCCCAAATATTGGGGTTTGGGGGCCCTGTGCAAAGGCCCTAGGCAGACTTGCCCAGGGCCGGCCCTGCATACAGGACAGGATTATGAAAGAGGGGGAGATGCAAAGCTACATCGCGTCTGAGGAAGGTGTTGAGACCCTCCGGAGCGTCATTGAAGACCCACGTGCCCTAATCTTTGCCTTGAGCCAAGCTCGCCAAGAAATCGGCGCATTGATATCCCGCTATGAATGTATGATTAACGTAATTCTATTAAAGTTGTTCACCATGTTAATGCAATCGGCCAGCAATGTACAACCTGTATTACCAATCTCGTTCCCTTCACGCAACAAGTCCACCATTGATTTGGAGTTCACCTCAGCAAGTATTCTCCTAAACCCAGAAAGTAGTTAGTACTTAGTACTATAAAAAAAACATAAAGAAACATTTTGGAAGCCTTTTTTGAAGTTTACGTAAATTTGTGGAAAGAAACGTGAAAATGTTAATTTTTATGCAATAAATAAATATATTATAATATATAATCCAATTCTTATAGTGATTGGATAATGAATTGACAAATAAATAAACAATAGTTCATTCATAGTCCACATACGAATATGATAAAATTAAATCCCTTTTCTAATCAAATAATGTTTTAAATTGTGTATAATCCTGAAATTTCACATGTATAAGATCCTATAAATTAACTACAAAAAGTTCTAAGGTATGTTTCATAGGTTCAATTCATATATTTATAATTGTACGATTTCTATAAAATCTTTACTTATAAGAGAGTTTTTGGTTTATTGAAATATTTATTCGGAAGAACAAAAGTTTCTAAATTTGAGGAAAAAATTGAATTATTCTATTATGTTTGGTTCATGAAAAATATTTTTCAATGAAATCTAGTATCTTTGTTTTCACATAAAGTTCAAGATCAAGATTGAAAGAATTGCAATCTGGAACGTCCGATCAAGATCACAAACCCTAATACTTATCTCTCTTCAAGAAAGTCCTAATTCTTGACATTTTGGGTATAAATACTGCTCCACAGGGAGTAGGGGCTCGAGAAATTAGTCAGCAATGTCTTGTTCCATTGCTAAAAGAGGTCGTGGAAAACCTAGAAAAACTTCCATAAAAAGTGATAATTGCCCTTACACAACATCAAGGAAATTCAAGATCAAGATTAAAGTTTTGGGACAACAAGAATATTCGGACCATGTCGTTTCTCACGCAATACCCAAGAAACCTAGGACCAAGAATACAAGAATCTTGAATCGTAAACAACAATCTTGGGGACAACGTTATATCCTTGATCATAATTCAAATCCAAATCCAATCTCACAGAAAGAAGTCGAAGGAGTACCATTTCTTGATCTTGATGCAAGCCCGATTAATATCGGATTATCATTGTCGTTATCCAGTCTGTTGATAAACTGAAGCCAATTTCATCACAAAACAAAGTTGAAGCAGTGTTCACTAGTTCTTCTTCTTCTTCTTCGGAGTTGAAGATTAGTTTGTCCACGCCACTTTCTGAATACATCATCCCGGGACCTATTCCAGACAATATTGATAAGTTGGCATGGCCGGATGAAGATATGACCTGTAATTTTTGGAAAGACATCCCATATTTTGAAGACTAACTTCATCTGATCTCTTAATTAATGTATCTACATATCTACAAATTGTTGTTGGTAAAGTGAATGTTTACCATTCATATGCCATGACTCTGTGCACTTGATGTAACAATGACAACATAGAAAATATATGTAACATGGTGATATTCAGAATTTTATTTTTTTTATTTTGTTACTTTATTTTCCTTTTGAAAAGAAAAGTTATGATTTTACTAAAAGATTTTTTTTTGTATCTTTTAAAAATTTGTAATATAATATATATATATATATATATATATATATATATATATATATATATATTCCTTGTCCACTGAAAATTTATAAATTTATAAATTTTTTTAAAAAATAAATTAAAAATGAACAAAAGTCTATCGTTTTTGGTTTTCTGAAATGTCTGATTTTTCTGATTCATTATATATATGTTTTGAACCTATTTGGCTATTTGTGTTTATGTAACTTGATTTTATTTATGTATACAAAATACAAAACAATAACTTAATAAGAAGTGTTACTTCAGTAAAATCCTTAAAAGCAATTCAAATGTATATACTGTTTATCTCTCCATTCATAGAAATAGGAAAAAAAAATGAGAAATGCAATATACGAAATTACGAAATGCAATATACGAAAATACGAAATGAATGGGAAAAGTACCAAATATGTACCAAGACTATGTGGTCTAATGGTACCCAGATACTACATTGTAATAGACCTAGTAGCATTAAAAAAAGTACAAAATATGTATAAAAATTAATCATGTACTCGTTTTTTTTTAAAAAAAAAAAATTCTAAAATTTGAGAAATAGTTTTGAAACACTTTTTGAAGTTGACGAAAATTTATGAGAAGAAACGTTCAAATTTTAATTTTTAAAAGTTTTCAAACGATAAAATTAAATCTCTTTCCTAATCAAACAATATTTTTTGATTAATTGCTTATAATCTTGAAGCTCAATAGGTATAAAACCCTATAAATTAACTACCAAAAAGTAATATGGTATGTCATATATTTCAAAGATTTGATTCATAAATTTGATTCATGAATTTATAATTGTATTCTTGAAAATTGTTTTCTTAAAAATCTTTATTTATAAGGTAATATAATAATAAATTTATTCTCAATCATGTATAAAATTCAAGATCAAAGGTGAAAGAATTGCAACGATAACTTGTGACCAAGATCACAAGCCCTAGTACTGATTACTCCTCAAGAAATGAAGTTGAAGAAGCTAAGGCTCTATTGACATTAGTTGATGCAGCACTATTTCATAAACCCTAATACAAATTCATATTTTTTGCATCCAAGAAGTTGTCTAAGGTAAGATCTTTGATATCCTCATTATCACTTAAAAGAGATTTTTCCCAACACAATCTTTGTAATTTCTATGCTGAATTTAAGGATTTTTTTAATTTTTTTAATTTTTTTTTGTGATACAAGATAATGACGAGTTGTTCCATTACTAAACGAGGTAGTGGAAGATCCAAAAAAGCTTCAATAGAAGCTGATGTTTGCACATACACAACACCAAGAAAATTCAGGATCAAGATTAAAGCTTTGAAACGACAACATGAGCACTGCGAGCATGTCATTTCTCCAATAATACCTAGGAAACCTAGGACCAAGGGTACAAGAATCTTGAATCGTAAACAATCATCTTGGGGACAACGTTCTCTTCTTGATCATAATCCAAAGCCAAAGCCAATATCACATAAAGAAGTTGAAGGAGTGTCGTTTCATGATCTTGATCCGGATCGAGCTAATACCAGTTCATCATTGTTATCTAGTTGTGTTGATAAATCGAATCCAATTTCATCAGAAAATGAAGTTGAAGGAGTAGTCATTGGTTTTTCTTCTCCAAAATGGAAGACTAGTTTGTCTACACCACTGTCCGAGTACACCATCCCAGGACCTATTCCGAACAATATTAATGAGTTGACATGGGATGAAGATAACCTTCGTTTTTGGAAAGACATCCTAGATTTTGAAGAATAAATTTATCTCATCTCTTAATTAATATAATACATCTACATACTTTTTTACAAATTATTATTGGTAAAGTGAGTATTTACATTTCATATGTCATGAGTTTGTGCACTTGATGTAACAATGTCAACATAAAAAATGTATGCAATGCGGTGATATTGAGAATTTTATTTTATTTTTCTTTTAAAAAGAAAATCTATGATTTTAGTAAAAGATTTAATTTGTGTGTCTCTATTAAAAATTTATTATATTGTTTCTTAATATATAAATATATTTATTTTTTCCAATTTTCCTTGTCCACCATAAATGTATTTAAATTTTTTTTTTTAATAAAATTGCAAATTGAACAAAAGTCTGCAATTGGAGTTTGTCCCCTTTACAGATGCATCCAAGGTGAAGGCAAAGAGAGCTTCAATTCGTCGCTATTCAGGGTTGGAATCCAATCCCATTCCCATTCCCGTTCCTGTTCCGCTGCGCTGCTCTCACCATGGTCGGGGCAGCGCAATAGCTCGAAGGAGGAGGAAAGAAAGTTATTATTTTGTTAATTTTGTTGTGATAAATGTCTCTGAGAATAAAAGCAGTGGTTGATAAGTTCGTGAAGGAATTGAAGGAAGCGCTGGATGGGGATATACAGGATAGGATTATGAAGGAGAGGGAGATGCAAAGCTACATCGAGGAACGCGAACGCGAGGTCGCCGAGCGAGAGGCCGCCTGGAAAGCCCAGCTTTCTCGCCGTGAGGCAAGTCAAGCTCCCTATTGTTTTTGCTCTTTAATTCAGTGTTGTTAATTGTTAATTGTTAATTTAACTTCTTAAGTTAGCACCTTCATAGTTAGATTAATGGTGTGGAACCAAATGGAGAGTTAGTGAGTGAGGAGATTACTCTAATTTTAATTTTAATTTTAATTTTGTTTAGTTACAGGATTAATGTTCTAGGGTTTATTGCTATCATCTGATATGTCATTGAGTTGGTTCTTGAAAAAGAGTTTCCCAGCTGGGATCATAGAAAATGGTCTGAAAAAGATCCCTACCCATACCTTGCTAGCTCTCAAAGATGTTGTAAGTATTCATACGATTACGAATTGGAGGAAGATTCACTCACTGACTCTTGACAGAACCCCTCAAAAAGGGGACTAAAAGGTATTAGTTGAGATATGACAACTAGTAGTAGTATTCATTCAATTATTCCCCAAGTTGTGTAGTAGTATTTTGAAACCCAAGCCCAACTATATTCAGCCATTTATAAAATCAAACAAATCCTCGATTGTTGTAAAGTTAAAGTCTTGTGTTTTAGAGATGCAGGTTATCCTAGGGAAACTCCTCTTTAGTTTCTCAAGTATGAAGTGAGTTTTGTTGGAAAGATGTACTTTTCTTGAACTTCATAAATAAGAACATAATTAGAGACAGTTATGTTGACCCTGAAGTTTGAACTATTGAAGATCTAATGTAGTTAAACTGTGAGTCTAGTCTTTTAGGTCCAGTGAGACTTGAGTGTTGAATGCTGCTGCTACAGTCATATGGCCTTTTCAACTCAATTTCATTAAAAGCTTGGTTTATCTCCATTAGTGTCATATTTGGCATCTGACTCTAGATATATTATAATTCCTTTTCAAGTATTCTTGATACGCCATATACATTATAACCGTCTAAAATGCTTTGTTCTGTCCATATATTATTATATTCTCTATTTGTTATGACATTATTATGAGCCAGATTTCAATACTGTCATTTATATATAGGGAATTAATCCCGAATTCTGTATTTTGTTGGAACAAATTGTTATCTAGATTTTAGAATGTAGATGTACGTTATGTTGCTGCCCTGGTGTTCCTTATCAAAGTTCTTACCTTTACTTCTTGCTTAAGAAGCAAGATGAATGTCAAGTTGCAAACCTTGGAGATTGCTTCACCTTTTGCCTTCCTGTTTTTAGAATAAGCTATCTAATGATCCTTTAAAATATCAACTGCACGTATATATATATTTTTTAATCCTAAACTTGCTCCTAATAAATGGAGCAAATACTTCTTTATGGGGTAAATGCAGGGAAATATTTTGGTGACTAGTAGTGCATAGGATTGAACTATGGACCTTTGCTTGCTCTAATAACATATTGAAGAATGCGTTCCGTATTAGCTAAAATCTTAAGCTACTACTTATAATACACATTATTTTATTAAAGGGCACCATTTGCTAGGCCCCGCCCGGGCTTATGAATGAGATGGTGATTAGTGAGTGCATCAGCCTATTGATTCTAGCAATATTTGTTCTCTTAGTCCTATATCAGACTTGTGTACTTGCATCCTAGCCTTGTGTTTTTTACTGGTAGAACGATAGGTTTTATTATTATTATTTTTTTTAAACCTCGTAACATGTTGCTAAGACGCATGAACAATTAAAAAAGAGAAAAATAAAAGGGGAAATTGTTTCCCTTTTGCAGTCCTAGTCTAATTAAAACTCAAATAGAATATGCAAACATTATGCGCTTCTGCATATGGCAATAACATTTCTCTGTTCACAGAGAGAAGTTCTAATTTTCACTTGGGTTATAAATTATAATAATTCATTAATTATTATCTGGTTTTGTTGATACACCAGGCTGAGATTGCCCGACAAGAAGCAAGGCTTAAGATGGAAAGAGAGAACCTTGAAAAAGAGAAAAGTGTACTGATGGGAACAGCATCAAGTCAGGATAACCAAGATGGAGCTCTGGAAATAACAGTAAGTGGGGAAAAGTATCGCTGTCTCCGTTTTGCAAAGGCAAAGAAATGAAGAACTGCAGTTGACAAAGTATGGATTTTAATCTACACTTAGCTCGTTTTAGTGGTCGATTTCATTGAATTTTGTATGTCCTGTATATGATTAGAGTTCACTAGAAGAAAAGATATAGATCTTGGTTATCCAAAACTGTTTATACCAAACTTAGCTTTCCTATGACACTAATATGCCTTAGAGAATCTCCATCTATGGATTTTGGGGTGGTTTTTGAGAAAGCAACGATGATATGGAGGAGAGAGAAGGAACGAGGTTCTTGCAGTAGGGGTGGTTTTTTGTTTGAAAATGTGGGGCCCGCCTGGAGAAGAAGGGGCGCCTGAGTCGCCCGTTCAGCGCAACTTGCAACTTGCGTGCCCAGCGGGCGGATATATATATATATATATATATATATATATATATATATATATATATATATATATATATATATATTCCTTTTTCTCTTCCCTCCCATCTTTTCTTTCCTAATCACACCTGAAAAAACTCTTCAAAAATCACAAATGTTCGAGATGCTCTTACAGATTCTTGGCTTTCCCATCATTTCACTTTCTTAATTTGCCCTTAATTTGACTTGCTCAGTTTCATGCTGGTTGAAATTTATGAATGATGAGCTTATGTTCCATATTTGAATTACTCTGATTTCACCAAGAATACATTATCTTTTTCAAGTCACCCTAGTCTCTAACCAGTGGACCAGATTGTGACACATTGCAGTGTCGGCTTATACTCTGATTGACTGGCTATGATTTGTGTGATGCCCATGTTACAAAAGCATAGCATGTATCAGAGATTCTCCAGGGGAAACATCCATGTTACCCAACACAAGTGATATTGAAGGAACAACAAAAAGATTTTCTTCAATCTTTTTGCTTGCTTCATTTTAGGCCATCAAAGTCTGCACACACCACCATCTCCAACCAAGTTGGAAAATGATGGGGATTGTTATTTTTGCATCTTAGAGAAGGTAAAATGCATGTTACAATCAAATGAAATATGTCAAATAATTGCTTCTTTGACTTACAGGAAAGCCCGTAGTCACTATCTGAAGCCCTGAAGGTGCGCTAGCCAGCAACAACCTGACCAACTCGACTGAGGTTACCCCAAACGACTGCTTCTGGGAAAAGTTTAACATTGTGTCGGTCTAACTACAGGACTTATGAAGTTGTCCACAAGTTTTGCCTTGGGTTCCATTCAAATCCAAAATGATGAAAGCCAAGATTTCAAGAGTCAGACTCGTGCAGGTAATAATGAATTTGAAGAGGGGGCTGTTGTATGGTAGCAAGCAATAGCTGTTTTCTCTACTGGTAGTGATCAAAGAAAGTGACATCCCATAACTGGGAAAGGGGAGAAGAAAGTGATGACTCATCCATTTGCTAAAAAGCTAATAATACCTTTGATGCTTCATCTCTCTTTTCTTTATGTTTGAATTTCATACCAACTTTAAGTGTACAGTAAATTATATAACTTTAATTTTTAAAAAACAATAAAAAGACAACCTATTAATTAATTGGTAGTTTGAAATTCTGGTTACAAACAAAAGTAGCAAAATTAAATCCTTATGTTTTGGTGGCAACACAATGTTAGGTAGGAGTATTGGAGAAGTGGGGTTGTGTTGGAATGAGCTGTCTTTCTTGTTGCATTAGATGCTCTCACCTAAGCTTCCTGTCTTTAGCCATTACTTTACCTTAGCAACTATCAACAAGCTTATCCTATGTCCTCTTGAAACTCTCCAACTATTTCCGATACACAATTCAACTAGTCAACCGACCCAAAATAAATTTATAAATTTTGTTTTGCTAACAATTGCAAGGGAGTAAGGAGATTTGAATTTGGCCTTGTGAATAGTGCTGTAAAAATCGACCTAGGCACCCCTACGTTGAGGCGATTTCAGCCCTAGGCGGCTTTTAGTTGGCTGACCGACTAACTAGCTGACTAGGTGACAAATTGGCTAAGTTGAGCGCCTAACTCGGTCGAGCGGGCGCCTAACTCGACCGAGTCGGTGCCAATTCAGCCGAGTTGGCGTTCAACTTGGCTGAGTGATTTTTTTTTGCTTGCTCGGCTACTCTTCTATATTTCTCCAACCATGTACAAAACTAACCACCTAACGTAGCAGTTCACTAGTTTGGGGATTATAACAGTCTAACTACTCCTAGCCCTAAGTGGAAAAAGTGAAGACGATATACTCGGATTACTCACTTGAGGGGCGCCCGACTAGCGCCTTCTATAACATTGATTGTGAGCACTAGTGTACAAACATTTGGGACCTTGTAGGTCAGTCGAGGAATATCCCGAACAACGAAGGGTCAGATCCAACACTCGAAAACTTATCTTTTTCTCTTAACATACAGGTGAAAACAAAAGGGAAAAAGATATTTACCCATTCTATCTTTAAATTTTCCCCAACAAGAACAGATAAAAGAAATACAGTAGTATATTTACTGTGTCCTCTCATTCAGTGATGTATATTGAATATGTGTTTTTTACCCCATCAGAAGGGGTTTTGGGTGAGATGGTCCCTGCCACTGTGCAATGTCAGATGAGATTAAAAGAGTGTGGAGAATGGATTTAAGTAGTAAAGGTCAAAAAAGGGTTTTGAAGTCTTGGCCTGTAAGTACTGCAAATAAGCACTGCACATCAGCATCAACAATGCTTCTCTGCAGATTCTTTGGTTACACCCACATGCTCAACTTCTGTCCCTCTTTTTAGCAATTTCATTTATTACCCCCTCCTATTCCCTTTTTTGTACCCTTTTAAAAACAACTCCATAAAAGATTTAAAAAACAAATAAAATAATTAACCCACTCTTGTTTGGAGACTTGGTAAACAGGATAAATCACAAGATATGTGATAGTGGTATATTGGTCCCACAATAAAGTTAATTCCATACTACACATTGCGACTACCAGCAAAGCTAGTCTATTAATTTTGAATTGATCAATCAGTTGAGTTGAGTTTCCGGAGTAAACTTAATTTGCAAGCAAGAAAATTTTAAAAAAATTAACATGTTTGTATGGTTGGTGGTAGTATTGTCAAAGCGGGCTGGCAGGGCAAAGTCGACCGAAGCTTGTCATTTGGCAGGGTGGACTTTAAATCCCGCCAATTTGGTGGGTGTAGAAAAGGTTAGCGCGCTCACCTCGCTCCCTAGTCCTGCTATAAACTAGGTGGGCTTGGTGAACCTTTGAATCTTGCCAAGTCCACCCATTTATTGCTGGGCAGGATAGGCCAACGAGCTTAGCCCATTCTGACAGTTCTAGTTGGTGATTAACTCGTTTTGATTTTATGAAATTCTGTAGAGAACACATAAATGAGATGGTGTAAGTATATGTGACATTAATATGGCTGAAATAATAAGAGTTAATACCTCCAATGGTCCTCCGAGTATTAGCGATTAACCAGTTGTGGTCATCCGAGTTTTAAATGATCTCTAATGGTCCTCCATGTTTTAAAAAATAACCACCCGTTGTCCTTTTAGGACTTCTCGTGGTCATTTTAAACTCGGGGTTTTTTTTAAGAATTAGGACCACGGGTGATTATTTTTTAAAACATGGAGGACCATTAGAAGTCATTTAAAACTCGGATGACCACAGCTGGTAAATTGCTAATACTTAGAGGACCATTGGAGGTATTAACTCAAATAATAATATATAGAGTATAAAATAATACAGTGTTAATTGGCTTGATTAATAAGGTTTTAAAATAGATATTAAAGATTGGTTGTTGGAATTGATAAGCATCATGGTAATTGTCATTATCAACAATGAAGAACGCAAACACTCAATCAGTGAGCAGCAAGAGATAAGTAGCAATCAACACAATAAAGTGAGCAAAAACAGGTGAAAAAGCCAATACGAAGACTAGAAAAGGACTTGAGCCATAAAACTTTTGATTGAGAGAATGTCTCCCCTTAAAATCCCAATTTTTTTTCAGACCTTTCACACTAATCCCCATATCATAATCCACAGCAACTTTATGCCACCAGATTATTACTTTATTACAATTATAATCTTCTACTTGCCCCCCTCCCCTAGTTTCAACATTAGAAAGCGGTGTCTCAAAGGGCATCCTTCTCGTATATGAAGATCACAGATTTAATTCTTGTAAACTCTCTCTCAATTAAATCCGTGCATATAGTAGTGTGATTTACTTTTCATGTATAGTTTGTCCGCTTTTACACAGTAACAAGTTGAGTTTACCAAGTGCACACCCTTAAGTACTGGTCGTAGATTTCTCTCCTCACCAATATATATATATATATATATATATATATATATATATATATAGTCAGATTCTTGTGAGAACAGGTCTTCCCGTGCGGTCGATGCGGTTTACACCATTAGGTATGCATAAATGCACTACACAGTGTTCGAAAATACACCATTATGTGTGGTGCATTTTTTTTTGGTGTGTGGTGTATTTTGTGGCATTTCATTCTGGTGTATTTTCAAACATTGTGTGTGCATTTATGCATACCTAATGTGTAAACCGCACGGGAAGACTTGTTCTCATTTGAACCAAAATCTATTTATATATATATATATGTGTGTGTGTGTGTGTGTGTGTGTGTGTGTGTGTGTGTGTGTGTGTGTGTGACCTTAATGTGCGAACCTGCGAACTTCTGAGGATTGCACCACAGTTACTATATGATTGCATCGCACCCGAATACGATTGCACCGTAAGGTCCTCCAGGCATGTTTGGGAGCTATAGCAGTGCCAGAAATGTTTGGGAGCCGTAGCAACAGTGCACTCATGTAGTAGTTGCGATGTAATCTTTCAGAAGTTCGCAGGTTCACATGTTAAGGTGAGTTCGCACCTAATTATGATTATATATATATATGTGTGTGTGTGTGTGTGTGTGTGTGTGTGTGTGTTGAAAAACATCCATATCTTATATGTTTTACATGTTTTATACAAATTTATCTCATATAATAACTTTAATCATATTTTTGTGTGTTGGTTTCAAACAATTAAAGGTAAATGTTTTGTATAGCAAATTAGCTTGATTGTTGAGTTTTGGACTATTTCCTATGGTCTTCGATTGAGTTGGTAAAGAGGCATAAAACACCCCCAAAACTATAGAGTTGGAGAGAGATTTGTAAACCTTTGAGATTATGCAGGGGACTAATTGCAGGACCCTCAATTTCCCAAAAGCTCATGCTAGGTTTTTTTTTTAATAGAGAAATTAATGTTGTACGATGAGACATATTTACAGGAAAACTAACTTCTATGTTAATTGGATAGCTACAGGAGTTGGGCAATTCCCATTAGCTTTGCAAGTATTTAATTTGAAAATTCATTAAATGGTGTACTGGCGCTCTTAATTGTTGGTTGTGAGAGTGTGATGTGACCATAATTTATGTAAGATGTTTGTTACTTTTTTAGGTTGTATACTTGTATTCAAAAAAAAAAAAAAGTTTAATACTTGGTAAAATATTAAATCAAACAGTGCTTGTTAAATTTTAGTAGACTAAAAGGATCGGAAAATCTTACTATTCAAATTCATTTTCAATTATTACCTAAATGCACATCAGCAAATTGTTGGATAATGTCATAATAAGTTGGCTAGTAGGTATGGATTTATTACTTTATTGATCCGTAATTCTTGTATATATATATATATATATATATATATATATATGTGATACACTTATAATATTCTTTAAAGAAGTTCAATGTGGATAATTCGTAGCTGAAAAGTTAGTAGTTAATAAGCTAACTAATTGAAAGTAAAGTGTTTAGTAAAATTCATTTTCGAATTAACTTATAAATATAAAAAGACATAAAAGGATAAACTAAGATATTAAGATTTTGATTAATGAAAGGTAGATTGGGTCATTTTTGTAACTTAACCAAAATAAATAAATAAATAAATAAACAATTAAAAAGTCAGAAGCTTATTTTGAAAAGCTAGTTGGGATAGATTTTTAAGGCTCTCTTTGGCAAACCTAGCTGAAAAGCTATAAGCTAGGAGCTGAAAGCTGAAAAGGTATAAGCTCGGAGCTGAAAATTGAAGAGCTGTTAAGCTAGCTGTTATAATTGAAAGTGTTTGGTAAAATTGACTTTTTGATAAGCTGATAAATGTAAAAAGACTAAAAATGACATTTTCATAAAATTTAAATTAGTTTATTTACATATTAAAATTTAACATTTTTTCTTTTAAAAAATTAACATTTTGAAATAAAACAATTAGCATAATCATGATCTAGCATCTCATAATGAAGTAGCAATATTGTTGCAAATCTAATAATAATAATAATAATAATAATAATAATAATAATAATAATAATAATAATAATAATAATAATAATAATATTTGCGGTGAAAGTTGCGGATAAAGGAGAAGAGAAAAGAAGGTTTTAATTATGAAGGGTAAATTATGTCATTTTTTTAAAAAATAATAAGGATAAAGATGGAAAAAAAAGTTAGGCAGCTAGGAGCTTATTTTGAAACGCTACCTTAGCGTTCCAAAATAAGCTTTTATTTTAAGCTAGGAGCTTATTTTAATCAAAATGACATTATTTTGATCTTTAAATTTTAACGGATTATGCAGATTTACCATTGCTCATGTCTCTACACAACTACTAATCTATTTCAAGTAGACTTAATACAAGGTACACAATTTCATAAAATAAGACGAAAAACTCACAACATAAGACATATACACATGTTATATACAGAGTATTTACTTAATTTCAAATATGATTTAGGTATAGAATTTATATTCTATTGGCATAGAATTTCACAAGACAATATATAAATTCAAAACATAAGACACACAATACGTTGTGTGTTACACATCCACTAATCTATTCCATGTACATAATTCATACAATATACAAAATTTCATTACACAAGACAAAAACACTCACAACACAAGATACATACACATGTTATATATTTACTTATTTTCAAATTTGATTTAGGTAGATAATTTATGTTCTATAGACACAAAATTTCACAATACAAAACATACATTCATAACATAAGATACAATATGTTGTGTAACACACATCTACTAATTTGTTCTAGGTAGAAAATTCACTCTTATGATACAAAATTTCACAGCACAAAACACATACAGATGCTTTATAATTTTTTTTTAAAAATTGTAATGTGAATTGCACAACTAAACAGTTGCCATCAAAATTAAATAAATCGTTGTTTGAAAATGACATCGTAAAGGACCAGGGCCCATGATATAAGGATTGATGGAATTACAACTTAGATTTAAAAAAAAAAAAAAAAAAGACAACAATAAAAAGCATAATAGATTCACATGATTAAGTGATTCAAGTCCTCTTACCCTCCACCCAACTCATTCGTGGATTAATGAAATTACAACTTAGATCACAAACAAAGAAAACAATAATTCACATGATTAAGTGATTCAATTCCTCTTATCTTCCATTCACCTCATTTTTAAATTGATGAAATTACAACATCCGTTTCTTTCTGATGTAATTGTTTTGGCTTCTTGTTAATTGAATTATGCTTTTCTCTTCAAAAACAACAATAAAAGCATAATAGATTCACATAATTAAGCGATTCAATTCCTCTTTACCCTCCATCCAACTCATTTGGTGGGTGGAGATGACTTTAATGGCTTCTTAAAAAGGGCATTTTTAACGGCAGTAGAATTGGGGTGTCGAAAGGTATAAATAAATAGGAATGAAATGAAGTAAAAGGAGTGAGTGAATGATATATAGGTAATAAGCAATTAAAGAAACCATCTTTATAACATTCCAAGTGGACTCACTTGGCCTTCATAGCCTTCTGCAAACCAATTACATAGTAGGTTCAATTTTGTCAGGTCCCCCCCCCCCCCCCCTCTGGCTAACCTACCATATATCACTGATTCTTATTTGGGAACTTGTAGGCCAACACCCACACTTTCTCTCTCTACTTCTTGATTTTCCGGCCCCTCTCTTTCTCTCTCTCATCAGAGACAGCAGTCAACCACAAAGGAAAGAGAGGAGGGAGAAAAAAAAAAAAAAAAAAAAAAAGGAGCCAACCCCACTACTACTCCCACTTGTTCCTTAAAAATAATAACCTCAAAAAAAAAATTCTTCATATTTCTCTCTCTAGGATTGTGTCCTCCGATTGATGCCAATTGGACGAGGATTTTGAGCATCAAGGAAGTTTTCTGGGACCAAACGTTAAACCTGTGTCTTTGGTTTCTGTTCTTTCCGAGAAAATGGATTTTATGGAGCCACATAGTAACAAAAGCAACAACCATGGTGGCGGCGGCGGTGGGAATGGTAATGGTGGTGGTAGTAGTAATAATAATACCTCCGACCACCACAACCACCTCCACCACCGTCCAACCCCACCGGCGAATCAAGAACCGCCGCCGTCTTCCCTCCAATTGGTTCCACACCTAAGTCAACCCGACCCGGCTGGCGCTGGGTCCGGCAAGGCCCCCGCCACCCAGCCCCCCCATGATCCATTCATGGGCTCCATTTCAACGCCCAATACAAACTCTGGAGCTTCCACCAAAGTGGTCGCCAAGAAGCCTTCCAAGGACCGGCACACCAAGGTCGACGGCCGGGGCCGCCGGATTCGCATGCCGGCGTTGTGCGCCGCCAGGGTGTTTCAGCTGACTAGAGAATTGGGTCACAAATCCGACGGTGAGACCATAGAGTGGCTGTTGCAGCAAGCGGAGCCGTCGATTATCGCCGCCACCGGAACCGGCACAATTCCGGCCAATTTCTCGACCCTCAACGTGCCTTTGCGCAGCAGCGGGACTACAATTTCAGCTCCGGCCACCAAGTCCGGGCCGCTCTTTATCCACGGCGGCGCCACCGCTATGCTGGGGTTCCACCACCAGCTCTCCTCCGCCGGTTACGGGCACGACCCGGATGAGAATTACATGAAGAAGAGGCTAAGAGAGGACACAAGTGGCGCAACCTCACCCTCAGCCGCTAAACCGGATAGAACCGGAGTCCAAGGACACGAACCGGGGGCAGACTCTATACCCGGTTCATCTCAACCCTCCAGCTTTATCCCTGCTCCGGCCATGTGGGCGGTGGCCCCCGCCGCCGGAAACGTCGGCAACACGTTCTGGATGCTCCCCGTGAGCGGCGGCGGCGGCGCCACCACGGCCACCGTAGGAGTGGCGGCAGCGGCGGCGGCGGCGGCTCAGCAAGAGCAACACCAGTTTTTGCACTACAAGGGATCAGCTGGGATGCAAAGGATTGGCGGGTTCGAGTTCCCCGGAGGTGGCCGGTTCAGCCCGGTTCAGCTTGGGTCCATGGTGCTCCAACAGCCCCAGCCGGTTCAGCAGCTAGGGCTTGGTGTCTCAGAAACCAACATGGGAATGTTGGCCTCCATTAATGCATATAGTGGAGGTGGAAATAGGGTTGATTTGGGCATGAACTTGGAACAACATCAACAACATCATCACCAACATCATCAACATCATCAAAACCAACCTCAAACAAGTGAAAGTGGAGATGAAAACCCCACAGCCTCCCAATAGTTTCAAGAATCGTTCAAACACCAGACACAATGAGTCGTTGAGTTATCGGAATTTACTCGACTGTACTGTCGAGCCTGAGCGTGAGGGCTCAGGGCTCAGGGCAAGGGAGTGAATTTTACCTTTTGTGGGCAAGAATTGTTCAAAAACTTCATGCAAACTTCTATTTTGGTTGAATTATTGAAGAATTTAGTGGAATTAGGACAAGAATTGAATGTGGGCATTGTGTAAATAATGTTGTCTCAATCCTTTCTTTTACCTATGACTGTTCATGGTAGTTAGAGATAAGGTTTCAAATGTCACTAGTTGTGTTATGGTTCATTGTTTTTTGGGCATTTTTGGAGCTAAGCTAAGCTAGCATGGAGAAGTGTTTGGGTTTGAAATGGAAGGTTGAGATGAATTGATATGATGATGGATGGGGCTTTTGCTTTTGCCTTTTGGATTCTCTTTGAAGATAACATAAAGAAAATTAAAATTCAATCATGTATGTCCTCAAATCTTGATAATTGAGTCAAGATTTCTCCAATCAAACATGCACCCATTGCATGTATGTCAAATGTACATAATGGAGGTGTTGTTTGTCCATCTTCTTACTTGTACGCTTTGACTCTTCTCTTTTGTGTTCACATTGAAAGTACATTTCTAACCTAGCATTTCAAAATTAATTTTGTAAAGTCATGCTAGTAATTATCATTAGGTGATCACATACAAAGTTACAAGATTGAGTACCCTTTTAAACCGAGATGACTAAGGGTGTTTATTTAATTAATTCGGTTAATAACAAAATTGAATTAATCAAATTTGTAAAATGTATTAATCATTAATCAAATCGAATTGAACTTTTTGTTTATAAATGAACAAAATTAAAATTTTGTTCAGTTAATCATTTGGTTAACCGATTAATTTATAAATAAAATATTTCAATCTATAGTTTCACATCATAAAATAGTTATTAAATCAATATATAAATGATAAAAATAGAAAACTAGTCTAATAGTATGATTTATATATGAATTACAAAAAAAAAAATTTAAAAATATATATATATATATACTAACAATTCGGTTAATTGATTAGTTAATCCGGTTAACTGACACTTTCAAACTAAATTAACCAATAACCAAAATTTTTAAAATCACTAATAACCGTTAACTAAATCGAAGTATTTCAATTAAAAATTAGTTAATCGAATTTTATCAGTTCGGTCAGTTAAACGATTTTTACATAACTGTGCATACCCCAACTCCCGATTACGCAAAAAGTTTATAATTAGTAGTACAGTTTTCACACCTGTTTAGTAGTCAATGTCACGTTTTATTCGACTCTGAAATGATAAAAGTATATATTTGATGTGGCAATGACACTGATTCGATCTTTCTTACACCAATTTACTAATTTGGAATGGATTGGTGCAAAATTAAGTATCATTCTTGGATTAATTGTTCTAACAAAAGATGCAAGGTAGCTTCTATATATGGGAGGAATAATTTGCCAAAAGGTCATTCACCCTTGGTGCTTTAATTCTCCACAGGAGTCAGTGAGAAGTAATTTTGCTTCAATTATTGGTGCATGGCATTAATGCTCCACTTGGTGTACAACTATAGCATGGGCCAAAACAAGATGGAGGTTAATTAGAAAACAGGACTCTCTCTCTCTCTCTCTCTCTCTCTCTATATATATATATATATATATATATATATATACACTAATCTTTTCTATGTGCGATGCGCAAAAACACATGCCTAACATTTATATTTTTTAAAATAACTAACAAATTCCTACGAATTAAAATCTATATAAAATCAAATTTATTTATTATAATAATCCAATATATAATATCTACAAATATTATTATTCATTAAAGAATATAAGAAAATATATGGTGAATACATGTGCATGGTAACAATAATGGAAAAGATAACGGAAGTTATAACGGTGGGGATATTTTTGTCCAAAAAAATTATATAGTATAACTCCTAAAGCACAATGTACAAAATGCATAACTGAGGGATATAACTTTTATATATATATATATATATATATATATATATATATATATATCCCGTGCGGTTGAATGCTTTCCGTGCGGTTGTGCGGATGATTAATGTGCGTGAGATTTATACTCAATGTGCGTGAGTGTTGTGCTTAATGTGCCTGAGATTTGTACTTAATGTGCGTGAATGTGTAAAATGTAGCAGAAAATATGGATGTCAGCTTCTTCTCCATCGCCAGTAGCCATTGCCCCCTCCCTGATGATGATGATGCGGATGCGGCTATGGTGGTTAAGAATTATGGGAATAATACAACAGAAATCCACACTTAGTTGGTGTGCAAATTTTGTTGTGCGTGCGTCATCTATATAAACATTCAACTGCACTGAAGATAGCTGATAATCCAGAATCCATGGCCAAATTGAAGGAAGAAGTAACAAGAAGCTTGTGCGCGAGTTTTCTGTTCTGCTTCCTTCTGAGCTCGTAATTCTGAACTACTCACGCACATTAAGCACAATACTCAGACACATTAAGTAAAAAACTCACGCATATTAACATTACGCACATTAATTACAAATTTCAGGCACATTGAGTACAAATCTCACACACATTAAGTATAAACCTCACGCACATTAATCCACCGCACAACCGCACGGGAAGTCACAAATGCACATGATCCCTTCCCTATATATATATATATATATATATATATATATATATATATATATATGTATATTATATTTGACCATTTTAAAATTTTAAAATCTTCAACACCTATTTAATTAACAAATGATAATTTTAATTTACACGAACAACTTTAATTAACAAATGATAATGTTAATTTTTAATTTTGTTTCTTGAAAGAAATAACAACTTTAAAGTAACATATACACACAATTTAATGTTACAATTTGAATAGTTATATTCCAATCTTATAAATCACTCTATGACCTTTCAATCCATTAGGTAAGTCACTTTTATACTATATATGGACTAATTTAGATAAATTGAATTCTAAATTGAGTAAATTCTTCTTATAAAATTGGTAAATAGCAAATGGAAAGTGGATCAATAATGCTTTATATGAAATTTAGTTCATTCAAATTAACATATTACTTAAAATGTCTTATTTTATTCAGTTTACAATTTTTGAACAATAATTTTTAAAACCAACCAAGTTTTTATATAAATTATGCTTTTAGGGGAGAGGGGAGATGGGAGAGGGGAGAAGCAATCGTTATGCCATGGAACCGTGTTCAACTGTTCACCATCCATGGTGAACACGGTCCCAAACGGTAACGGCACCGTTATCTTTCACCAATTTTTTTTTGTAATTAACAGCGCGACTTTTCTTCTTCATTTTCACATTTCGCGGTTTCACTTCCTCTTCACGCAAGCTTCTTCGATACTCATAAATTATGAATGTGCATGCATGAATTTATGAATGCGCTGTTATGAAATTATGAATTTTCTAGTATGAGATTATGAATTTTCTGTTATGAGATGTGTAAATTCATAATTACATAACTGTAAATTCATAATCTCATAACAGAAAATTCATAATTTAATAAATGTTTTTCTTTTATGAGATTATGAATTTTCTGTTATGAGATTATGAATTTACAGAAAATTCATAATTACATAACTGTAAATTCATAATCTCATAACAGAAAATTCATAATTTAATAAATGTAAATTCATAATCTGAACATAGAATGCAAAACGCCGTTAACAACACATTAACTATTTTTTTCCCGTAAAAACAACGCTGTTTTGGAACGTGTTCACAAAGCATGGTGAACACGTTTCCACGACATACTTTGCGGGGGAGAGGAGGGTGGGGGAAGAGACTATAGAAGGGTTGAATTAGAAAATGATTCGAGGTTATTAATAAAATTTTGAAGGTAGAGACGGCAATAAAATTTAAAAGAAAAAATCCTTAATTTCATATACTTTGATTTACAAGAAAGTTTGTAACCATAAATCGAATGTGCACTCTAGGTGAAACTCACCTTATGACCCTAGTCGACAAAGAATCACAAAAAGGTAAATTAACCTAAGTTTTCATTGTTGACCAACTTAAACCATAAAGGCTAATAGGTAACTCCCACAAAGAGTCGAATTAATTAAATTGAAACCTTATGATTGTCAAGACAACTTCCCAATCAACTTAGCTAGTGGTTGCCGCTCCTTATATTTCCATATAATTCATGTTATTAAGGATTTCATGAGTACGGACCTGCGCAATTCAAGCACCTGTGTAGCAAATAACAAATAATTACTGCCAATCACCTTGTGCTCAGATGACATGTAGTGACTCTCTCATATGAGAGGTCATGAGATTGATCTTCAGTGAAGACGTGTGTAGCATTCAAAAAAAAAAAAAAAAACAAATAGTTACTCATATTCATAAATAAATTATCTTCTTAGATTACTTGCTTAATTTGATACCCCACAACATGGGATTCTAGTTCGATTCTTGTCAAATATCATTATACCGGTGCAATTTGACCTAAATATATGTAATCACTTTGGTTTTTCTTCCTTGTATGTAAAAAAATTGTTTTGATATATAGACAATCAAAAGATTAGAAAATTGATAAACTAATAATATAATATGAGACAAAAATGAAAATTGAATAGAGAAATAGGGGCCAAATTTAAAGAATACACACAAGCTTAGTAGTTGAGTAATTGAAGTGGTATTGTATAGTAGCTTGGCAGCTTGCTTCCAATGTCACCTAAGGATGGAACACAACATATATAGTATATACATTTATATACGTATTTGTTTTGGTAAGAAGAAAGAAAAACAAAATTTTCCAAAAATTACACATAAGTAATCTTTTCATTCTACTTAAACACTATTTTTCAAGACTTGTTTCCAACTATATATATAAATTAATAAATTCTATACATAATCGTTTTGGAAATTTTGAGCTCAATATCAGTGTTGAATTGACGCCACGCAGTTGAGAAGAGTTAATTAGAAATAAACTATTTTTTCTGATGCGTATGTATAAATATTACTGTCATAATTGTTGGAAATAATGAACCAAAATCGATTTAATATTCCAAAATATTATTTATATATACACACGAAAATATATATAAAATACTATTCGATATATATCCGAAATATATATATATACACACAAATATATATAAAATATATATAAAATGTTTGGAAAGAGGAGCACTTGAGCTCCTCTATATAAGAGGATCATTGCTCCTCTTACAAACATATAATTGCTTGCCCACTGATGGGCAAGTATTGCGAAGTCCAAAGACTCTTTTTTTTTTTTTTTAGTATTATTGACCCGACAAATTATGCTGTGTCACCGTGTCCACCTTGCAAAGTAGATACAGTTCAAAAATTGTTCATAATTATGAATATATAGTTCTATAATTATAAACATAGTGTTGTGAACATAATTATAAACATATAGTTATGTAATTATGAATATAGAGATTCAATAAGTGTAAATATGAAATTCAAAAATTATGAATATATATCCAAACAAAACGATATACAAACATTTATTACAACAACAACAACAACAACAACAACAACAACAACAACAACAACAACAA